GGCTGGGCCTCCCCTGCTCCTCGCCTCCTTCCCAAACCCCACACGCCCCGCACAGCCCAGAGGGAAAGAGCGTGGTCCTGGGGTCACAGGTGTGTCTGGACTCGACTGATTTCCCCCTCCAGTGCTGCTTCCGTTAGGTCACGCTCATGCTCAAAAACATTCAGTGGCTCTCCGTGGCCTGCCAGACAAAGTCAAAACTCCTTAACCAGGCATTCTGGGCTCCTTGCAGACTGCCCCATACACACTGCTCCAACCTCGTGTCCGCGTTCTTCCCTACGCTCAAGCCATCTCTGTTCCAGCCAAACAGCCAGCGTCACTGGCCATTGTTAAAACATTCCGGGGGGGGGGGTGCACACAGTGGATGCCTTCCTTACTCAGTCCTTGTGTCAGACTCGCCTCTCCCTTAGTCCCCGGCCTGGCCCGGCGATGCCGTTTCCCCTCAAGGCCATTAGTGCCACTCAGGTACCACTCCCTGCCAGCCTTTCAGCCTGCCAGGCTGGATCCCAAACCCAGGTGCAGAAGCCAGGTCTCACTCTGACCCCCTGCCCTGGCCAGGGCCCTGCAGTGTGCAGAATGACGGTGACATTGGTACCTCCTCTCCCAGCCGGGGCTGGGCGACATAGGAGACCCATGCATGGACTTGATCCTCAGGAAACGTGGGGAGTGTCTTGGACCTATTTCTTTTGAGGTTGCTCCACACCTTTGGCGCGTGCCCCTCTGCGTTCAGAGAGCTGATGATTTGCCGACCCAGCCCTTTGGCCGGGAGTCGAGTCTCAGATGTGAGAGCCGGAACGGATGCAGAGAGAGCATCTGGCTGGGCCGTCCCTCCCGGTGACCCAGCTGCCATTGGCGGGGGAGGTTCGGACGGTGACCGGGGCACAGTCCTCGTGGAGACTTGGGAGGGCCCCTCTCAGAGGCCAACTGTGACCTTGAGCAAACCACTTCCCCACCTCCCTGTCTGCAGAAGTGTGAGAGGAGCCCCTGCCCCTGCTGCTCCGCAGATGCTCCGGTGGGGACAAGTGAGGCAACGGGTCTGAAAATACATTGTTTTTTTCTCTTAGGAAGCATCGTAACGAGGGACAAACGTGAGAAACCCTGTCCGAACTTAGATGAGCGTGTCAGACTTTGGGGATTTTACAACAGCAATAAAAATAATGACGTGTATGTGCCTGGCATGTGAATGTTTGCAAAGCACCTCCACCGCTGTTATTGCATTCAACTGCCACAACTAAGCAGGTATTGTGCCCATTTTACTGATGGGGAGACAGCAGGGAACATTTACGGAGCGCGTAGTATACGCTCTCACTAAGCCTTGCCATGCGCTCCTGAGGCCAGTGCTGTTTCTATCCCCATCTAAGGGTTAGCAATGGACGCCCGAGGCTGCCCAATAAAGGAAGGAGCCCAGGCAGCCCTGCCTTGACCGCTTCCCCATCCCACCTGGAGAGACCGCTGTGCCAGGGGGACGGTGGCTGGGACCCAGGTGAATCTCCTGCCCCCACACTGAGCACCAGGTTATGGCCCTGAGGAATGGCAGTCCCAGGGAGCCCCCACTTCTGGGCTGGGGAGCCGGCCCCACGTGCTCTGCTCCCTCTTCCTGGCTTCCACTCCCACCCCCGCCCCTCCCCTCCGTGTTCCCCCACCCCGCCCCGTCTCAGCCTGTGCTGCCAGGGAGAAGCCTCAGCCCTGGGGAGTTTCTCAGCTCCCAGAGGCATCTGGGCTTCCAAGAGAGCCTGAAATAGGCTTGTCTGAGTGCGAGGGGGAAGGTGTCAGAGTTACAACCAGGAGGGAGGGTGGGTGTTCCCTCTTGGTTGCCTCCCTGGCAGGGAGTGGAAGTGTGGGGTCTGCCTCGACCCTGACCCCAAAGGTAACTCCTCCACCCCCACCGACTTCTCCAGGTGGGGGTGCTGGGGGGGAGTGCGGGGTGCGGCTGGCTCCTCCCTGCCCCCCAGGCGGACACGGGCGGCAGGGCCTGGCCCAGCGCAGAGGGCAACATGAGAGCGATGGGTCAGAGGGCTGGACGGGTTTCAGGCTCTAGCTGGGGCCTTGTCCTTGAGGACATGTGTGTCGTATGTGGGAAGAGAGGGCACTGTGACAAGACTGATGGGCCCAGGATCCCGGGAGGGACTTTGGGAGCCCTGAGAGGCTAATCGGTCCTGCCCTTACCTCCCTCTCCAGCCCTCCCCCACTGGCCAGGCCCTGGACAGGCGGTGGCGGCGGGAGGAGGGGAAAAGGCAAGGAAGGCTGTGGGACTTGGGGCTGAGACTGTGCTGGGCCGGGTTGTCCCCCCTGCCTGGGCTCCAGTCAACACAGAGGTGGGGTCAAGTGCAGTGTGGCAGGCTAGATCTAGCTGCTAACTCAAATCTCAGGTTTTTGTGGGCCTTTCTCTGAGCACGGAGCACGTTGGTAAACACCTCCCCCAGCCCAGGCCCAGCCGCCTCTAAGAGTCAAGAACAGGGAGCCAGAGGGGGTGTAGAGGGAGAAAGAAAACCCCACCAAGAGCTCAGACTACCGAGAAACATCCCTGCCCTCTGTTTTTCCTCTGCACCCCCCACCACCCTGTCCCATTCCTGGGGAGGTTCCGGGGCGCCCGGGAGATGGATTGTGAACACATCCTCCACATATCCTCACGGGTAAATGGCAGGGGTTGGGACAGAGAACCTCCAAGGTCCTGCGGACCCTTGGTTCCCCTTGGTGACGCACATGTGCACCCCGGGGCCTGGGGCCTGTTGTACGACGCACATGGCCGGGAGCGGCCCTCTGAGGACCGGTCTGGCGCGTCGTGACTGCGCTGCCCACTGTGTGGTGTGCGGGTGCTCCCACGTGCGGACCTGGGTCCCTGAGTGTGTGGGGCTTCCGGATCCCAGTCCCCTCCTGAGTCCCTGCGCCTCTCTCTGGACGCCCCCCCCCCCCAGGCTGTGTTTCTGGGCCTGGGAGCTGCCGAGGTAGCTGCCCCTTCCCCAGGAAAGCTCCGCTAACTCCTCAGAAGTGATTCTTGCTCTTTTTCCTCCAAAATCTGTTTCTAAGTTGGAGGAATCAGGGCACATCAGTAGGGAGCTGGGTAGGTCCCAGGCTCGGGAGAGGCAGGGCTGGGGGTGGGGGAAATGGGAGCTGCAGACGGGCGACCTGGGAGCCAGGCGTGCACCGAAGCCGTCCTTCCAGAGGCCAGGTTTCGCCCCATCTTCACAGAACAAGACCGCCCCGCGCTGTCCTAGATTTGACAGCTTCTCTCTGCCAAGGACAGGGGCCTCAGGGTGAGTGTGGCCTGGGGGCCCTCCGCCCGCACCCCGGGGACCAGCACGTGTGGGAAGAGCACGCGTTTGTGGCTAGAGTCAGTAAGTCCTGGTGGGGCTTGAGGACAGCGACTATACAGGAGTGGTGTGTGTGCACCTGTGTGCAGGTGTGTGAATAAGTGTCTCTCTGGGGGTCCCTCAGAGGCATGTGCTGCCTGAACGAACCCTGAGCCCAAGACCCCTTCCCAGGTGGGGGTTTCGGGGCTGGGCCCTGCCTCCTGAAGCTTCTCTTCTCCCTCCTCCACCAAACTCACAGGGGCTGTATCCTCGGGGACTGTTTGCTTCTCCACTCACCTGTGCCTCACCTGGGAGCTCCCTGCTGGCCCACCCTCCTGGCAGGAAGGCGGCAGCTGGGAAACCCGACCCGAGCTGGTCTACTCCTTCCGACCTCTACTCTCTTGCTGTCTGCTCTGTTCTTCCAGGAGGTTTTGAACAGGGGAAGCGGCCGAGCTGGAGAGAGGGGTCTACTCTTTGTCCCCCTTCTTGGCTAAGCCTCAGTTTTCTTGTCTCTAAAATGGGGAGCCCCCACTGCCCCCTTTGAAAGCCTGGTAAAACGTGCGCGCCTGACGGCTTGGCGGGTGGCTGGGGTCTCTGGTAAGGAGGGAACGGCCGCTGAGCGAGGAGTTCTGAGGGAGAGGAGAGGTGCCCGCCCGCATCTGCTCCTAGTTCCTAGTGAGCCCCGCGCCCCCGGGGCCAGGAAAGCTTCCACGGGGGCTGCGCCCACCCCAGGGCGCCGCTCGCTGCCCGTGCCCGGCCAGCCCCGGCCCGGCCCGATCGCAGCTGGGGAGGTGGCGCGGAGCTCGGACCCGGGCCCAGCCTGCTTCTGCCGGGAGCCGCCGCCGCCCTCCCTGCCCTGGGCCCGGCCGGGCTGGGGCGACACCTACCTCACCAGGATGGCCACCCCCACGTCCTCGCAGTTGGCATAGAGCCGGGCCCACGTAGCCTGCACCGCCTTCCTCTCCGCCTCGGACAGCTCCTCGCTCCGCTCCCTGCGCTCGATCTCCATCTCGCCCGGCACTTTCTCCATGAGCGGCTCCGAGCCCAGCCCGGCTTCGCTCGGCGGCGGCGGCGGCGGGCGCGGGGCGCGGGGCGCGGGACGCGGGGAGCCGGGCCGGCTGCGTGCGCGGCGGGCGGCCGAGGGGTAGAGCGCCGGAGGGAGGGAGCGTGTGTCTGTGCGCGCCGGGTGTGTGTCTGTGTGTGTGTGTGTGGTGCAGGGTATATGTGCGGGGGGCGGGGGACCGCGAGCGGGGGGCGGAGATGTGGTCTGCTGAAAAAATGTTTAAAAAAATAAATCCGCTCCAAACCCCCAAGCCCGCGTCGGTGAGCCAATTCCCGCAAGGTGAAGGCTGGGCGGGGTGGGGGCTGCACGGCTGCCGCCCGCCCACCGCAGGGCCCCGGCGGAGTTGGACCGCGGGGCGGGGCTGGGGTAGGTGTGGCCGGGGTGCTGGGGGTCCCGGGAGGAAGGGGCGGTCGCGCGGCGCCGGGCGGCGCGGGCAGCACAGGAGTGCGCCCGGCTGGTGCGGGTCTGGGGGCACAGGGTCCCGGCTCCTGCTGCGTGCGGTGTCGGGGGTGTGCGGGTGTGTACCCTTCACGCGGCGGGGAACTGGCTGAAAGTCACACTCCTAGGCATCTGTGGCGCGGCCGGCTGCCGCCAGCCCGAGGGGGCGAACGCGAGCCCCTCCGGCAGCCGCGGCGCACCGAGCTGGGCCCCCCGCTCGCCCCCGCCTCTGGAGCCAGCCGCTGGGGGCCGCGGCGCCACTCCCAGGTCTCCGGACCCCTGGCTTGGAGCAGTTACTGGGGTCGTCACCCTGCCCGCCTACCTCTGCGGCTGTCGGAATTTGAGCACACCTCCAACCCGGGGCGCCAGGGCCCTGTGCCCCCTTCCCCTCCGGCCAGCACCCCTTCCCCTCAGTGCACGCACGCGGTGGCGGCAGCCAGAAGTCCCTGGGTGGCTTTTTAATGGCACAGACAGGCAAGCACCGGGCGCTGCCCTGAATTCCGGCCCTGGCGGTGGCAGAGGGAAGTCCGAAAGAAAGGGCAAAGAGGGCCTGGGGTGGAGAAGTCTTCCTCTCAGTTCCCACCGAGGGCCCGACTTGGGGGTGGCAGGGACTAATGTGTCCTGGCGGGTCCTGGCCAGGGCGGTGGGAGTGAGACTGGGCCAGAGGCTGGGACTGCCCCAGAGAGCCCCAGGATGCCAGCCCTGCTCTGCGGCAGCTGCCTGGTCCAGACAGGGCCTGCCGTGTCTGAAACAGAAGTCACAGGACAGGTGGGCTGTGTCTGTTTCTTCCTCAGACTCCCTGGTAACAAATGTCCTGCTCAAGACGTGCTGTCCCACTGCCCAAGCATTGCCAAGGGTTAGCTCTCCTCTTCAGCTTCCGATCATGTATTTATTTTTAAAATCCAGTTTTAAGGTAGAGAACAAGGGAGGCAGTGAGCACCTGTCCAGGCCCAGACCCTGCCCCAACCCGGGCCCTTCCAGGGCCCTTCCTGGAGCGTGGGGTCCAGATGCCCGCTGGGCCCCCTGGGCGGTGCCTCTTACACCACTCGCACTCTGTCAGGGAAGGGAAGGGAAGCCTAATGCCTTCGGAGCTCTTGGAAGGGATGGAGGAGACTGGATGGTTCGGGTTCTCATGTTATTCTCAGACTCATGTCCCAGCCTGGCCATTGCTGGCTCCATGCTCCACTGAACTCCCCTGACAGTTTCCCAAAGCCGGGGTGGCAGCCCCCCCCCCACAAGCTGCTGCCCAAGAGGTTCCCCTGGGATCTGGAAAGAAAATAGGAGAAATCTTAATTCTACTTCTTTTCATCTCATCCTTTACAAATTTTATGTAAGTCTTATGGTGTAGGAATGTATTTGTGTGGTCGCCTAGCATATAGTTTATAAGGAGGTGCACGTGTCTATTTTGTGAGTGCACACTCGTGCCTTTCACAGAAGAGGGCCTGTACTTGGAAGTTATTGCCAGAGGGGAAAACGGAGCCAGCCCTTTGCTCTCTGGTCTCCCTTGTCTTTCTGCCTTATTGTCTAATATTCTTCCCCTTTCTTCCTCCTCCCCTGATGCCTCCACTGTGACATCGTTGTCCACTGCCACTCAACTTTCAGGTGCTGGAAGATGCCACGTGCTCTCCTGTCAGCAGCCTGGGCAGCGTCTTCTGCCTGAGGGCCCATCCTCCCCTGAGCACCTGCCGGTTCAGGTGCCCCCAGCTCCGCCTTTGAACGTTTACCTGACGCTTGCAACTCCCAAAGTGCTCCTGAGTCACTCTATGGCAGTCACTTGTTTAACTGACAGAGCATTTGTCTAGACTGTCAGCTCCCTGAGAGCAAGGCCTAGTCTCATCAACTCTATATTCTGAATATTCCGAATACTTGCTCAGCGCCCCAGGCACGCCCGCCCTTCTCGACCCTGCCACTGGAGGGCCCGGGCCTGGAGAGCTTAATCAGCGCTCACAAGGTCAGGCCGCTGACCCTGCTAAGAAGCTTGAGCCTCCTAATCCATCCCCAACAGGAACCCCAGACGGCAGTGGCTCCTGAGAGCCGGAGGGGCCATTTTGGCCCCTCGCCTGTGGCCGTCGTCTGCAGACTCGGTCTGGGAGGGGATGGGGCAGCTGAGCCATGTGCACCACCCTCCTCCTGCTCAGCACCTTGGCCATGCTCTGGCGTCGCCGATTTGCCAACCGCGTCCAACCGTGAGAAACTGGGCTATGGCTGGGGTGGGGGAGGAATTACTGAGTTGGGCTCCAGCCAAGCTGAAGGTGGGCAGGGGTTGCCTGGACCTCTGGGGGGCAGGAAGGGCATTTGCCAGGAACCCCTGAGGAGCTGGGTAGAGGGGACTTGGAGCTTCCGAGGCACGGGGCTGCAGCCTCCAGTCCCATAGCTCAACGTGGCGAGGTCCTGTGGAGGAGCAGGGAGTGGCTGGGCGCTGGCCGCAGCCCTTCCTGCCTGTTCTTGCCTCCCACAGAGAGCCCAGCGGCGTGGATGGGGCAGTGATGGGCAGCAGCATGGACACAGACCTCCAGTCCTCAGTCAGGTGAGGCAGAAAGGGGGCTGGGGTGGGAGAGGGAGGGCGCTGCCAAGGAAGCTGCCGCTGTGCACGCCTAGGGGTGCACGTGTGTGTGTGTGTGTGTGTGTGTGTGTGTGTGTGTGTGCTCGCGCGCACTGTGCCCTGGTCCTCGCCCTTGCTGCCCTGTTCCTGTAAGCCTGCTAGGCAGGCTGGATGTCTGTTTTCTCCAGTTGGGAATGGGAACCCCCAACCCCTCCTCCGGATCAAAGCTGCTCTGCCTCTGCTCGCTCCTCCGAGTGGTCCCCAGGGGCACCTTCTGTTGGAGGGTGCAGGGGAGTGGAGAGAGGGACAAGGCTGACCAGCTCTGCGGGCTCTGCTTGCCTTTCCTTGCCCTTCCCTTCCCCCTCCTCCTCCTCTGCCCCCGCCCGCCTCAGCGGCTCCACTGCCTGAACCTCCAGCCGGATTCGCTGTCCAGTCCCCAATAGAAGGCGCAGGAGCAGCATGACATCATCAGTGTTGAGCGCCATTGGCTGGGCAGCCCCTGCGGGCAGGACGCTGTCTCCAGTGGCCAGGAAGTTAACTCTTCCCTAGGTTGAAGCCACGTGGCCTTTAGGGGGTGAAGTTGTGGGAACTTACAGAATTTTCCCTCCTGGGTGACATTGTCATTTTAGGATAGAGGCTTCTATGCCCAAGGAAACACTGAAAAGAATCAGCCAGTATTTATTAAGTACCTATGTGTGAGATGTTCTTTTTGTGCCTTGGGACCCACCTACAGTGGGAGACCTGTCTGAAAAGTGACTCTCTTACTCTTTAGACAAAAGCAAAAAAAGATCCTGTGACGTTGTTCTTGGGCTCCAGGGCCCACTGCAGGAGGGTGTCTCCACACAGGGTGTTCTCAGATGGCGGGTACAGTAGCACGTCTGTGACCCTTTATGTCTGAGTGGGGACCTGCCTGCAATGTGTCCCTTAGATATGTGGAAACTGGCAACTGAGAAAACTCAGAGTCTTTCTGTTTCTTGTCCTCTTGGTCCTGGGATTCTCCCGGATCCTGTCAGGGGCCTGGCGGGAAGCCGTGGGCATGCACAGGGCACAGAGACATTTCTGTGACACCCTTCCTCAACTCACTAGGCTAGTTGAGGTCATCACAGTAGTGGCTGATTGAAATGACCAATTAAATGGGCTCACACACAGAATGACTGTCACCAGGCCTCACCCATAGGAGACACTCAATGCTGACTGGTCCTCACCATTGAGTTTGGGTCCAGGGTTGGGCAGCCAGAATTTAAGTCCTGGCTTCCTTCTCACTGTGAGACTTTGGGGAAATTATATAATCATCCTATTTGTATGTAAACTGGGGTTAGTAACAGAGTGGTTGTGAAACAATTGCCCAATAATGCTAGCCACTCTTTTATTTTACACTCGATCGGTGCTTTGTTCTTCTCCAGAGGTTCTCATTTGTTAACTCTAACTCTGAAGGTTTGGCAGGAGGTACTTTTTTTTTTTTTTAAACAAAAGGTATTTTTTTTATAATAAAATTTTAAAAATACATTGGATAATAGTTGGTGTAAAGAACATGCTCTCAGAATGGGGGTAAAAGCTGTTGGGCTCTTCTTGATACCACCATTTCATAGAAGAGCTTGGCTGTAAATAAGCAGAAGGATGATGCAATCTTGGACATAATTAAAACTGGGTAAACCACAATAGGTATGTTCCATTCCAGCAAATAGTTTGCCAAGCATTTGTCTAGGTCTATTATAGCTATTGAGCAAATGGATTGGCATGAATGGTTATGTCCTTAATGTGCACATCATTAAGAGGTCGGTATGTCTTCTCATTTACTGGCAACTTCTCCAATTCATCTAGAGTTTCCAGACCATCTATTACCTTTCCAAATACTGTGTATTTCATGTCCAAATGTGGCTGTTTGCCATAGGTGATGAAGAACTGAGATCCATTGGTGTTTGGGCCATTATTAGCCATAGATACTTCGCCTCTAACATTGTGCTGTTGGATCTCCTGTTTCAACCATGAAACCCTTGATATTTCTATGAAATATACAGCCATTGTAGTAAATAATGGCACAAAAAGCCAAGAAATTCTCATGTGTTTTGGGTGTTCTCTCACTGAAGACTTCTATTTTACTATCACCTACAGCTGTATGCAATGTCACACACATTTTTCTTCCTGATGGTTTCAGGAAGGGCTATTTAACATCTCACAGTCTTCCCGAGAGATGCTCAAACCTAAGTTTAACCACTTCGGTTAGCGCAGCCATTGTTAAAACAGGAAAAAGGCAATCACAGATGCCTGTATAGGTCAACTCACAGGAGGTACATTTTGTCTCTTGCTAATGGTTGAGGAAACCAAGGGACAGCAAGATTTAAATGATTTGCTGAAGACTGTCCATGTAATCTGCAGATTACATGGGAGCATCAGGCCTCTGATTTTCAGGCAGTGTCTCTTCTACATGAAGTGGGCTGGACCTCCTGGCAGGGGAGGAAAGGCCAAATCAGAGGACCATCTGGCCAGGCCGGGCCTGGTGTGACTTAGCCAGAAGGAAGCAGTTGCCTATTAACTCCTTGGGACCCAGTTAACTGGAAAAATTGGTCTGACATGGAGGAACCACCTGCTGACTGTGGCTGCCATGGAGGGCTGGCTAGGGGTGGCAGTGGGGGTGACATTTCTGCTCTCCAGTTACACTGTCATCGATTCCAACTGGTTTCTTATGTGCTCCTGCTCCTCAATATTGGGGTGAATCACTAGGCAAGGAGGCAGGAGGAAAAGGAGAGCCAGAAGCATGGGAAGGTCACCCCTTCATTCCTGACTCCAGTGTTTTCCTCTGTTTAGGGAGAAAGAACCTCTGAAGTAAGCCCTCAGCCCTGCAGGTGGGGCTCAGCCCCAGAGACTGGGATCAGCTGGCCCAGGCAGGTAGGATGGGGCTGGGAGCTGGGAGGGCGGAGGGCAGAGGGCAGGGCTGGGGACAACGAAGGAAGAAATATGCAAGGCCTGGCCATATGGGAACACAGAAGGCATTCTTCAGCTCTTGCAGTGACTGATGGAGGTTAGAGTGGGTGGGTGGACTCACGCCTTCAGCTCCTGCCTTGAGCCTGTTATGTTCCAGGCCATGGGCGAGGGTTAGTTTGAAGAGAACTAGGTGTGGTCTGGACCACATTTTCTAGGCTTGGGGATGACGTGGCGGTTGTGCTGGGGGCCTGAGGGCAGTGCTTGGGGACTTCTAAGGGAGAAATGGTGCTCTGGAATGTCCACTCTGAAACACAAGTCCCACCTCTGAGCATGGGAGAAAGTGATGGCATGTTTTGGTCTTCTGTTTCAGCTCAGGCCCTGGTTTGCTCGCTAGCCCAGGAGGACGCTGTGGGAGCTGAAGCAGCGGCAAGAGGGAGCCAGAACGCAGCAGTGAGAAGGTGGACGCCTCGCTCCCAGGTGCTGGACCTGCGGGTCTTCGCTTCCCCCGAGGCCCTGGCTGTGGGGCTCCCACCACGACCTGGCTGGGGCTGGCAAGAGGAGCAGAGATGCCCATTGCTCTTGGAGGGGTTCCCTTCCCTCTGAGGCTCCTCCGAGGGACTGCTGAGCCGGAGGAAGCCGGGTTGACTCTGGGGCAGCCCTGGAGCCCAGGCAAGGGGCAGGAAAAGTGAGGAGCAAGGAGACTCCAGAACCAAGCGACAGCCGGTAACTCACATCTACCGATCAAGGGCTTCCATGCACTCTCTGATCCAATCCTCGCAGTAACCCACACAGACTGGGAATATTATCTACATTTTATAAATGAGGAAACACGTAAAGAGATTCAATAATTTGCTCCAAATCGCCTCGCTAGTAAGTGGGGACTGCAAGGCTCACAGGGAGGCTGCAGAGCCCATGCTCTTAACCACCATGGCGCGGCCTCCCTGCCACCTTACAGTCTGCAGCTGCCTGGTAGGGGGGCGTCGGCCTGACCGCCTGTATGTCAGCCCGGGAGCTACTCTGCCGGACCTGGGGCTGGTGGTGCAGGGCTGTGCAAGTGTGGGTTTGCTATGGCGGTACTTGCCTCCTGTGGCATTGGCCTTTCCCCACTCCCAGAGCTCATCCTGGCACTGGCTGCGCTGCTGAAATTTTCAATAAGAAATGCCAGTTGGATCTGTGACACGTCTGCCTGCAGCTGGAGGGAAGCAACCAACAGCTTGTCCTCTGAATGTGCTTTCTGTGTTCGCGCGTGTGTTCCAAATGGGCAGTAGCATGTGGGAAGGGGAAAAGCATGACACTTGTTTTTGTCAATTTGCTGACTGCTCAGTCACGGCGGCTGCCTCCTTTGCCCCCAGCTGCTCTGCCATTTCTCTGTCTTTACAACCCTGCCCGATCTTGAGCAGAGATAAAAGCAGATTTCCGCTTCTGCTCCCGAGATCCAGGCGCAGACCCTGCAGGCAGCTGCTCCCGACTGTCTCGCGGCCATTAATCTTCAAAAGCACCCCCTTGCCTGCGCGCCTCTCCTCCCCATCCAGCCCCCCACTGCCGGGCCCAGCTGTGATGTCTCTCTGCCTGGCTTGCCCCTGCCCTTGACTTTCAGGCAGTAGGAGACGGAGGAGTTCTCTAGACAGCAGCACCTCAGCCGCCGCCCCACATCTGAAGGAGGAAGGAGAAGGGTGAGAGCTGCCGCACACGAGAGGGAACCCACTCGGAAGCCACTCAGAAGGATGGGGGAGGCGGCACAGCCCTCTGGGGAGGGGCTGCTGGTACTGCCGGAGCCTGGGGTGTGTGCAGAGGCAGTTCTGTGGGAGCCTTTCAAAGTAGGGCAGGGAGGAGGCAGGGGGAGGTCACACTAGGGCAAGGAGCCCGTCAAAGCCGGAGTGCCCACCTGACCCAGGCCATGAGCCCATGACCACCTGTCTCAGCTCCTGTCAGCCTGTCTTTGTCCTGGGAGGCATCAGCCTTCCTGGTGACAGGACTGTCAGGCTGAGGGCCAGAGGGCCCTGTTCCCAGGACCTTGTCTGTGTTCCCTGATCCTGTCTTTGCATTCATTCTGTGGTCTACTTGCCATGTTCCTGTCACCTCATCCTTGCTGCCATTTCCAAGTTGCCCATCTCCTTCCACTGGTCTGAGGACGCGTCAGGCCAAGGTCATGGAGCTGGCACAGGGCCCAGACACACTTCCAGAAGGCGGTGCCCCTTGCAGCACCGTTCTAAGAACCTGTGCGGGAGATGGTGGCTCCTCCGTGTCCGTTCCAGATGAAGGGCGGGGAGGAGAGAGGAAGGGGCTGCTGGGGCAGTGGGGGGATGTGGCTCCCTGGGCTTGGAGGTTGCCTGGGCCCTGGCAGCTGGGGTGCTATGTGGGCTGGGAGGGAGGGGCTCTCTCTCCCAGGGAGCAGGCTGGCTTTGGTGGGAGCAGATTGTGTTTACACCTTCCCCGCACACCCAGCCCACGCTCGCCTCTTATTCCCCGGGCCTCTCCCACCCTGGGCTCTCCACGCAATCTGCACATTTGCAGCTACTGCTGCAGACAGTTGCCTCCCTCAGCCTAGGACTCCACTACGGAAGGCTCCCAGGACCCAGGCGTCCCTTCCTCGGCCCGCTTGCTGCTGTCACAGGGGTTGTGGTGAAGCCTGTGGCAAGGGTGGACCTTTCAGTGGGGGAGTCACTCAAATCCTGACTATGATGCTGTCCTCACAGAGGCTGAGTCCTCTCCCCCCTGTTTCCTTGCAAAGAGCTGCTGCCTGGAAGTGGGAGCAGGACTGTTTGGGGGCTCGGGAGAGAGGGAGTTAAGGGCAACCAGAGAGACAGAGCTGAGGGAAAGAGCAGGGAATCCGGAGTCAGCCTGGATTTGAATCGTGACTCTACCACGCCTCCTCCCTCTGTGGCCTTGGATAGGTTTCTGAACAACTCTGTGCCTCAGTTTCCTCAGCTATAAGAGGAGGTAATAGTAGTACCATCTCTTAAAGTTGTTGTAAGGGTTGATTTGGTAACGTGCATAAAGTGCTTAGCACGCCCAGCAAGCGTCCCATGCATGTGCGCTGGCACAATTATCTGTGAACTCTAAGTTACTGAACAGTGGTAGATTCAGAACAGATGGAGTTCCTGCCCTCCTTGCCCTGCAGTCCTTCCTGCCCTGTCTCTCTGTGCGTGTAGAGCTGGGCAGTCGGCAATTCTGAGACAAACTAGAGTGTGGCAGAGGGTGGAACTGCTGGAGTGGGGAGAGCACCCAGTAAGCCTGTACTAGGGGACCACCATGGCCGCTCTGTGTGCCCAGAGCCCTGTCCCAACCTCCAGCAGGGTCTTGGCATGGACACCTCCCCAGCTGGCTCTGCCTCACGAGAGAGTCTCAGCCCCTCGAGAAGACAGGAGGTGGTTGCCCTGATGCTTTCCTTTCCTCCGTCTGAATGCTAATCTCTCTACCGGTGGGAGCCTGAGTGACAGAGACAAGGCTGCTGGGAGCTGCAGGGTGGCCAAGGGCAGCAGCCAGGAGCAGGGAGGTGCTGCTGTCTGCTACCTCTGTGACTGAGACTCAGGGTTGCTGCCAGTCTCTCCTGGAGATTGGAGCATGACCAGAGAACTAATGAGGTAGCGGAGGTGGGGTGGGGGAGCAAGGGAAGTAGCCACAGCAGCTGCAGCAGCTGCTGCTGTCCTGTGTCACCTCAGGGTGCAGATGCGACCTTGGGGACTGCCCAGCCACCCCAAATGTGGGGTTGCGTGTATGTGTGCACAGGACAGTCCTGGGCAAGGGTATACAGCAGAGGCCCTGGTCCAAGACTTGATGGGCAAGGCGTGGTGCCCAATCCGAGGCAGACAAAATGTGGAGGGGGAGCAGCTCCCCCGGCTCCCGCGGCCCCTCTGCAGAGAGCCCGGTAGGAAGAAGCCTGCGATCTGGAGCTAGAGGAAAATGATGTTTCTTTATGAACCTCAAAAAAGGAGAATGGCAAAGTGGCTTACACGAAAGCTTACATTAATAAAATGATGACCGTACTACTAACATGATTAATAATGGCTAACATGTACCAAACATTCATTATGACTAGGCACTGTGCCAACTGCTTTATCTCATGCATTGTCTCATTTATGAGGCAGGAACGGTTGTTATCCTCATTATCCAATAAGGAAAGTGAAGTTCACAGAACTTGCTCAAGGTCACTCCCAGCTAGCAGTGAAGTGAGGCCCTATGCCTGGGAAATCTGATGCCAAAGCTCAGGGTAGAAAGGGCCTGAGTCTAGAGTTGGGGACTGTGAGAAAATTTTGGGTGTGATCTGTCTATAAGGGTACAAAGAATAGAGCTGTGGACCTGCCCTAGCCATGCCTTTAGGGGTGGGCCTGTGTTGGCCAGGGTTATTCCTACTGCTCTCTCTTACAAGAGCTCACATTCAAAGGCAGATCAGGCCGGGCGCGGTGGCTCACGCCTGTAATCCTAGCACTCTGGGAGGCCGAGGCGGGTGGACTGCTCGAGGTCAGGAGTTTGAAACCAGCCTGAGCAAGAGCGAGACCCCATCTCTACTATAAATAGAAAGAAATTAATTGGCCAACTAATATACATAGAAAAAATTAGCCAAGCATGGTGGCCCATGCCTGTAGTCCCAGCTACTTGGGAGGCTGAGGCAGGAGGATCGCTTGAGGCCAGGAGTTTGAGGTTGCTGTGAGCTAGGCTGACGCCACGGCACTCACTCTAGCCTGGGCAACAAAGCAAGACTCTGTCTCAAAAAACAAAACAAAGCAGAACAAAAACAAAGGCATATCAGACTCTGGGCCCGGAAAGGTTAGTCCTTGCCTGCCAGGTGAGGGGGGTAAGACAGCTGCCTCTCTAGGACCCACCAGCACCCCTTAGCGAGGAAGCAGTGGCCCTGGGCAGAGATGACAGACAACAAGGCCATCACTCACAGTCACTGCCACTGCCACTCTGTTGCCTCCTTCCGCCAGGGGCAAGGCCCTGGGGAAAGGAGAGGATGGCAGCCAGCAGCTCAACTGGCGTGGGGTGCTGGAGGGGAAGGCTGTTTTATTTATTTTCTCAGCAGGAGGATCAGGGCATAGAGACCAAGGAGGTGGCTTCGATGGGGATCCACTAAGTCCTTGTACTTAAGGAGGACAGACCCTCTCTGTGGTACACATGTGCCCCCTAGTGGGGATTAAAACAAAGAGAAAGATTTACTGACAGACTCTGAGCCTATGAGCCTGGGCAGGAGGGGCCAGTCCTGTCCCTATGTGAAAACACACACACACACTTAACATTCATATGCAGAGGCAGAAGCCATTCAAACTAAGCATTAAAAGAAATTAATTTGGTCGGGTGCGGTGGCTCACACGTGTAATCCTAGCACTCTGGGAGGCCGAGGCAGGTGGATTGCTCAAGGTCAGGAGTTCGAAGCCAGCCTGAGCAAGAGTGAGACCCCATCTCTACTATAAATAGAAAGAAATTAATTGGCCAACTAATACATATATAGAAAAAATTAGCCGAGCATGGTGGCGCATGCCTGTAGTCCCAGCTACTTGGGAGGCTGAGGCCGTGGGATCACTTGAGACCAGGAGTTTGAGGTTGCTGTGAGCTTGGCTGACACCACGGCATTCACTCTAGCTTGGGCAACAAAGCAAGACTCTATCTCAAAAAAAAAAAAAGAAAAGAAATTAATTTGTTCATTTGGTTGTTTCTTTAACAAGCATGTATTGGGAGCCTACGATGTGCAAACACTATGTTAGGTGTTGGGAGTAACAGAAGGATGAAAGAGACAGTCCCTGTCCTGCAGTTGGTGCTGTAGAAAGATCCCAGCCTAGGAAACCTAGTTCTGCCAGCTCAGTCGGCTCTGCCTGCTCAGGTGACCTTTT